ACTACGTGAACTATGTATGCAACCAGGCAGTGCCAAAAGCAATCACGCTGCAAGAAATGAAGTTAGAGTCGGAGAAGGATACTTCATTTCAAGCACTTATCAAGGCCATCGAGACTGACCAGTGCACACAGCCCGAAGTAGAGGATTACAGAAATGTGAAAGATGAACTGTTGGTCTACCAAGGAACTATACTGAGGGGAAACAGGATCGTGGTCCAGAAAGCACTGAGAGACAGAGCCGTGGACCTTGCACACGTTGGACACCAAGGAACAGTAAAAACAAAACGCCTCATCAGAGAAAAAGTGTGGTTTTCTGGCGCAGACAAGATGGTTTAGGAGAAAGTCGACAGCCGTTTACCATGCCAAGCAGCAACTACCAGCAAGGCAGAACGACTCGAACCTCTAAGGATGACACCGCTACCAAACGCCCCATGGAAAGAACTTGCGATGGATTTTCAAGGACCACTTCCTTCTGGAGAGTACCTCATGGTCGTCATAGACGAATACAGCCGTTTCCCAAAAGTTGAAATCGTAACATCCACTTCTGCTAGATCCACCATCCCAAAGCTTGATGCAATTTTCGCTAGACAAGGAATTCCTGATGTCTTAAAGAGTGACAATGTACCCCCTATAATGGCAAGGAGTTCAAGGACTTTGCTGAGCATCTGGGTTTTCACCACCGCAAAATCACGCCTCTCAGGCCAAGAGCGAATGGCGAAGCGGGACGTTTCATGAAGACACTAGAGAAATGCGTGAGAGCCGCCACCGTTGAGCACCAGAACTGGAAATAAGAACTCTATAACTTCCTACGACGGTATCGGGCGACACCTCACTAGACGACTAACATCTCACCATGCGAAGCACTCAACCACAGGAAGCTTAAAACTACCCTTCCAGAAGTGACACAACCAGTTCTGAGAAACAGAAGAACATAGACCACTTTCATAAATGACTGCCGGATTAATATTCTTTTGTTTAAATTTAAATTAGCCCTTCTGGCCTCGCTTGAGATAATGTATTCTCTTGAATTTTGTACTGGAGAACGAGGCCAGAAGGGCTAATTTAAATTTAGACAAAAGAATATTAATCCAGCAGCCATTTATGAAAGTGGTCTATGACAGTTAGGGATGCAGAACAGAAGATGAAGATGAAAGCTTATGCTGATCAGAAGTTAGGAGTTAGAGAGAGCAAGATCAGGCTAGGAGACACAGTTCTAATCAAGCAACCAAAGCGCACAAGCTAAGCTCCCCTTTCAGTCCAGTACCTCTTTTGGTTGAAGAAAAAACGGATCTATGGTTACGGCAAGTGATGGGAATAAAACTGTCACGCGAAAGTCATCCATGTTCAAAGTTGTCCCGAGCCACACTAGGCACGCTGAAAAGATAACACGACAGCAGGCAGACGAAGACCTAACAGCAGAGCCTTGGTCACCAGAAGTTTCGGAACAAGACAAGTCATCAAGTTCTCCAAGCCCAGCGACAGCCCTGCGGCGATCTCAAAGGCAAACAAGGCTCCCTGCAAAACTGAAAGACTCTGTCCTATATGTGCGATAGAACTAGACACTCGAAGCATGCAACTGAATTTTGTAACAATTGAACACGTTCCAGTTTATCGTTTTTAGTCATTAGAGATAAGTTGCTGAAGCCGATCCTTTAGATGTACACGTATTCAAGTTTATAATCAAGAAGGGGAGAGATGTAGTGTTTCTGAAAGCTGTCAATCAGTGTGTGTGATTGCACACGCGGTCCAAAGGAGAACAGTTTCAGATGTATACGGTTATGGTTTCACATTTTCATTAAATATCATTGCGTTGCATCGAAAGCCTCAGTGGTTATTTAAGTATAAACACCACACTACGCTATCCAGAGTGTAGGTCCGTCAGTATGTCTGTAATAATAGAAACCTTCTAGAATGCTTGGAACTCAGTTCGGTCTTCTCCTATATCGTCCGATTTTGCTACTTTCCGTCGGCGATCGTGATCGCAGTTTTTTTTGTCTCCTGCGGTAAGTCCGAATGTTCAGTTTTCGGTTTACGGACACAGTTCGCATCGCTTTAGAGAATTGTAGTGTCGTTCACTCAAGAGCTTAATCTGTCACCTTTACGACCTTGATATCCATTATTTTCCAGACAGAGTAATAGATACCATTGCTACTTAAGCATTGCTACTTTAGCATTGCTAATCCACAAGGTCTAACTCGATCGCAAAGGAACAAAAAATATGACTTGAAAATTTTGAAGGTCAGTCGTGCGGACGCTTTTTTTTCAAATTTGATCATTTAGTTGTGAACACATAGAATGATGCCCTTCTAGAACCCCCTGAGGTCATCAAATTATTTGTGCAAACGACGGATTCTTATTGGTTCGTTGATCTCCTAACGATAGGGGTGGTTGGGGACAAAATTCAGCTTAGTAGGGGAGGTAGGGGCGGTTACAGGCGGTTCAGATGTCAATGTGGTAACATAATATTAATATATCTATACGATTGATAAATTTTTTTCGTTCATCACAGAGCTTGGTTGCATTATATCTTTAGTTGTGAGTAATTTCTAGTGTCGTTGTTTCAGGGCGGTTAAAAACGGTACAGAGGTTTTGCACGCGCCACGTGATATCATAGCAACCGTAACTACGCCGCCATCTTGCATGCCAGGTCCAATGTAGATAAAGAAAGATTCTGAAGGTATTTCGCTACAATGGGAAGATTTTGCTGTGTTTTCGGATGCTACAGCCGCTGATAGAGACAACCACCTTTCTTTTTTTAAAAATTCCTACTGTAATTAAGCACCAGGGCGTGTTCACTTAAGAAATTTCGCAAAAAAGGCACGATTGATGGCTGGCAAACATCAGGAGAAATGCAGTGAAAAATGGCGACGTCAAGTATCCACATGTGTGTTCTATTCACTTCCTTGAAGGTGAGAGTCTTGAAACAGTTGTAATGATTTAAATCCTTACATGCTACTTTTGAAATGGCTGAAAGCTAATGTCTCATTTTTATTTCTAGGAAAGCCAGCAAATCTTTACGACGAAACGCATCCGGACTGGGCGCCAACAAAGAACATGGGACATTCTTCAAGTTTTGTCTCGAAACCAAGTTCCAAATCTACTCTAGCTCGACAGAAACGAACCAAGGATAGGCAAAGCAAGAAGCGGAAATGTGTGCGAGAGCGAGATGAACATTATCGGAGAGGGTGATGGCGAGAAGGAGAACATTTATGTCGAAGCATCTGCGATGGAAGAAACACGTTCACTCGCATACACTTTTATTGCCATTCAAAGTGACCTTTCTATGCAAAATATAGAGGAACTAGAAAACTTAAAACAATCAGAGGATGGAAATTCGGTCCTATCAAAGTCTTGGTTTGAAGCTAACGAAGAGTGGGTGAAATTTTATACCGGTTTGACAGCTATGAGTATGATGATCGATGGCTGTTTTTGACCTCATAAATCCTGCACTTCCTAAACAAATATTAATCAGTAAATTTCAGCAACTCCTCATAACTTTCATGCGTCTCAGACTGAATCTCTCAGTGCAAGACTTGGCCTACCGATTCGGAGTTCATGCATCTACCGTGTCAAGAGTGTTCCAGACCTGTAATGTTTACATCTATGGCATTTTTAGTGAAATGGCCGAATACCAAATGGCCAGAGAGAGAGGAACTGAAACTGACATTGTTGACCTGCTTCAGAGATAAGTTTTCTTCGTGTGCTGTCATTATTGAATTCTTTGAAGTTTTTATTGATAGACCTTCATGTAAACAAACTTGTCAAAACAGTTCAGTATTTTTCAACGACGTCATATACAAAAGGTTTTCCTTAACTTTCCGATCAAAATTGTAGTGTCTTGAGTAGCTTTTCTCACAAATATACTTCTTACCCAACCAGCAACGAAGTATTGGTAAGACTGCAAGCTTTTGTATGCTTTTAGTTGCTCCTTGGTGAGCTTGCTTGTTCAGTGAGAACAGCAAGTAGCTCACGATATCAGGAACTCGATCTCTGTTCATTTATCCATTGACTGCGAGTAAAAGTTGTCACTGACGGCATAGGGATCAATTCCCGCAGTAAATTTTAGCTTCTCGTCGTACATCTGTCGATTCTGAACGCTTAGGGAGTCGCGGTAACCTCTCAAGGATGGGACACGCTCACATTGTGTCGCCGCCATTTTGTTTGACCTGGCATGCAAGATGGCGGCGTAGTTACGGTTGCTATGATATCACGTGATGCGTGCAAAACCTCTATTCTAATTAATGACAAGCGCAGTAAGCTACATACAGTCACCGACTGCCTATTTTTGTTAAGGACGTAGAATACAAACATATTTTCGCCATCATGTTTTTGTCTCTCGACATCCCATTTGTTGCTACTTTTCTAGCAAAAAATCTACTTGTTACAATTTCATTTGATCAAAGGTAAAATTGAAACATAAGATAAGAGACAGGACTAATCTTAAGTGCTCTCAATCGATTTTATAAAAACATTTCGGATAATCTTGATATATGAATTAAAATGGTATAATAATGTTCCAAGAAAGTTCCCAAAATTCCAAAAACTGTACAACCTCACAAAAGCGAACTGATCCATTCAAAAAGAAAGGTCGACATTTTAATGAAATGAAAAGGGCATATCTCCCTCTTCTTCAGAAAAAGACTTTTATCTATGTCGCTGTCATTTTCGATTCAGTGACAATTCCTTTACCTGTGAGGAAAAGGTTTTCTTAGTTAGGTTTGTTTAAGAAGGTACGTCTGCGGCTTATGAATCTCTAAAAAAATACTTACCTGAATAGGTCAAATATCTTTCGATTCTAAAGCCCTCGCTACATTCGTTTTTTAGTTATTGGGTAAAGCATTGTAAACTTAAAGCGAATGTCAGGCAGAATATTCTCGATTTCCACCAAAGTCAACTCGACTCTTTGGAAAGTGTTATACATTCAGAATGGATGCTTTATTCGAATGGAAAGCACCTAAGGTATGTTGAGATGATCAGTTACATAAATTAGTTTTTAAATACCTCTTGCGTTGAAGTTGTCAAGGTCTTCGAGAAGTTCCTCTATATCTGCAGCAGGTAGTCTGATTTGTTTTAAAAACAAAGACAGGGGCCATCTTAAGTCGTCATGAAAGTGTCGAGCTTCTACACGGCTTAGAAGAGAATCCAACTGGAGAGAACTACAACTATACCACTTTTTTTTTGTCAGTCCTATGTGGTTGAAAAATCTAAACACCTCCAGCTCACTTAATTTATCACAATCAGCGATCCAGGATAAGAGAGGGCGGTGATAAAGCGTGTAAACCCGTCCCAAGAGGAAGTCAGTCTGAGATTTGTCCATCTCGCCCTTGATGTTTTCCTTTTCGATCTCCTCTAGTATAAGTTTGCGTATCCGTGGTAGGAAGAGGTTTTCCAGTGCTAAACTAGTGAGCAGCCATTGCTTTTGAACCTCCGTCAAATGTAAATTTTCTTGAACACCTTCAGGAACACTGGGAGGAGGTGGAGTCCCTTTGAATGAGCAAAAAACACATAGTTAGCGCCTTCTTTTCGGTCATCATTGGGGATGGAGTTTGCTTTACGGTCGTTTAACTTCAGTCATTCCAATGCAATCTAGTAATTGAGTTAAGATGGTCTCAATGGGGGGGAGGGTCACGTTGAAGGTTGCTGGTTAAAAATAAGGCCTTTTGACGGTTGACAGTTGATTTTTTGGAAGGTCGTTTATGAAACGAACGAAACACGCGAATTTGGCCGTAATGACGCGTTTGTAAGGAACTTTTAATTCATAACACCTTCTATTAATATATGACTAACGTTTAACCGCCTCCCGGTTAGCTCAATTGGTTAGAGCGCCGGATTGTGTTGTGCGGGAGGTCGAGGGTTCGAGCCCCGGCCGGACCAATACTCATAGTTTTAACATAAGTGAGGAGAATTTGCTACCTTTCTATAGAATCAAGAAATGGATAGATATTCTAGTCTTCACGGATAAGGACGAATAAATCGTAGGCCCCGTCTCCTGCAGGGTTAGGGGTAGGAGACGTTAATTTTTTCCCACGCACGAGATCACTGTGTGGTGAATGTCCTCCCCTAGGTGGGATGGGTGGGTATTGGCCCTGAAAAGCCCCTATGAGGAGTGGTCAATTAACCTAGGTATGTATGTATGTATGTATGTAAGTGTTTCCCATGTCGGAGGTCAGTTCTGTCGCTAACCAGTTTTATCGCGACTAGAAGTTAAACGCCTTACATAAATGTATTTTTGTGATATATCAAAACTTTTATTTATAAACAACAAACTTGACCCCAATCAAGGCAATCGTTTATTTCTCAATTAAGGATATCTGAGACATTTGACAGCTCACATTGGCTTACTCATTTGACGGTTGACGGTAAAAATATTGCGTTTTTGACGCTTGACGGTCAATATTTTGACCATTTGACGGTTGACAGTTAAGGTGGACACGCCTTCGCAGCACCAGGACTTTCGAGGTATTAACGTGACCCCTGTTATTGCCAGGTGTTTTGAGAAAATTGTTTATCATAAATTCAGTAAACACGCGTTTTTAGAAAATCTAGGCCCGACCCAATAAGCCTACTGGGAAGGATGCAACTGCACAGATGCTTTGATCAATATGCAGTATAACTGTTTGAAAGCGTTGGATGAGAGGGATTGTAGATCTGTTGGACTGTTAGCTATGGATTTGCTTAGGCATTCGACAACGTGAGGCATAGAATACTTAGTAATAAATTAAAAGCCCTTAGCTCAGATCCGTATTTTATCAACTGGTATCTTAGTTTTTTAGGAAATCGCAAACAACGGTTAGTGTTTGGGGGTAGCAGCTATTGCTGGTATAATGTAAACAAAGGAACAACACAGGGCAGCGTCAGTGGCCCTTATTTGTTTAATCTTTTCATTAATGATCTCGATCTCGTAAACTGTCCTGATGCTTCTCTTAGTAAATATGCCGATGATACCACGATGCAAGTTTTTGTAAATAAGGGCGGAACTGATTGTGCTAGTGATGTAATTTCGCAATACCTTAGCTGGTCAAGTAATAACTATATGCCTTGCAATCTTTCCAAGTGTAAAGAATTAGTTTTGAAGAAGAAGGGTCAAGTAAATCCTAGTCCTATTGCTAATATAGAGCAGGTCGAATTTCTAATGCTGCTCGGAGTGACTTTCCAAAACAATGGAAGATTTACAGAGCACATTAAACGAAAACTCTCCGAAGCGAATAAGTACCTCTATGTGTTAAGGAGCTTAGGGAAGGAAGGATATAACCAAGCGGAAATTGATGATCTGTTTCAGTCTTTAGTTTTACCTAAAATTCCGTATAGTTTACCGGTGTATGCAGCCTCTGTGCCTGAACTTAATACTGTGCAGCGGTTCCTTCGTAGATGTCATAAACGCAGTTTTACATCCTATGCGATAGATATATATGATTTGCTTGAGAAAACAGATAAGTCAATCTCAAAGAGGATTAGTTGCCTGCCTACTCATCCGCTGTACAATTTGTTGCCCAAAGTTAAAGAATCTTCCAAACGTTTGAGAACTCAAACAAGCCTACTACCTTGTGTCAACACAGAACGTTTCAAAGCAAGTTGCATTAATAGACTGTCTTTTAAATTTGCTTCCGCTTTTTAACGAATACTTTAAACATGTAAATATAGGTATGTATTTTTACTTGTATATTCAATAAAGACTTAAAGAAATTAAGACTAAAAGACCTAAAATTTAACCGTCAACCATCGAAAGGGCTTATTTTTAACCGTCAACCATCAACGAGAGTCTAGTATTCAGGACCAAAAATTTAATGGTAGTGTCGAAAACGAAGCACCCGAAAACGAAGACCGAAGACCGAAGCACCCAAATCTCGAAAACGAAGCACCCAAATCTCGAAAACGAAGCACCCAAAACTCGAAAACGAAGCACCCAAATCTCAAAAACGAAGCACTCAAATCTCGAAAACGAAGCACCCCCAAATCTCGAAAACGAAGCACTTCTGATTATACATCACTTAAAAAGCATCTACTTTCGCAATGGCAAGTCACGTATTGATGCAGTTAATTACTTGTGAGTGACAACTTTATCCCCACGGGTCCTAAAGAGCTACTTTGATTCGTCTAAGAGCAGCGCCATGTTTCTGGCGTCAATCAAGTGTGAAAGGGCCTTCACCTAGTCTCCTTCGCAGCCGCTCGGGCCGGAGTCACGCAACGCTCCCCGTCCCCACGCGGATGCTTCAAACCGACATACATTCCTTTCTCTTCGTGTTGCACTTTTGTTTGCTTGGACCAATGAAATAGTTGACATTGTATACGCTGCACCAATCACACGAGAGGTCGTGTTTTCCTTCGCGGGAAAACCCTTGCGGTATGCAACGTGCTATGGAAGAGACGCCTAAGAAGATCGTGCAAAGCAATAATAAGTGTTTTATTTGTTCATCTATCCCTACCGGTAAAAATAAGATCTATATATTTGGTAAGACGTCCACTGATTTAGCTGGACTAATTCGATCGTCGCTGGAATTTGACGTAAATAAATACCACGAGGACAGTAATTTGTTTGTTTGCCGACAGTGTTTTCAGCAGTTAACTAAATACGAAAGAGCAGCGAAAAAACTGCGAGAAATCAAACAGGAACTGCTGTCTGCTTTTAGAAATAGAGAGCAACTGAGGGAAAAAAGACTTGGACGCGATGAAAACAGAGACGATCCGGAGACGATCAACAGTGGAGATGTGCGAGTGAGTGCTGCAAAAAGTCTCCGGTTCTCTACGGAAACTTCACATGTTTATTCCGATCCTGCCGCTTGTACTTCTTATGCTACACCGCTAGCTCAGTCCACTCCTGCTCCATCAAGCAGACAGGCATTCCTCTTTACCGGAATTTCACCCATTCAAACCAAGAATAATGCTTTTTCTGACAGTCAGGGTGATGTTCATGGCGATC